TAAAATTAGGGATAAAAATAACTGGGTCCACTTATCTGTCATGGCCCCATCAGCCCACCCACTGCTACTCCATTTATTGTCTCCTCTTTTTTTTTTTTTCTCTCAAAGAGAGAATCCGCGGTCAGCAGAAGGGTCTCAATCACGTTGACTTCACTCATCAGACATGATTCTGGAAGACGAGGGACACGTGTCTGCATCATCAAGCGTCCCAAATTTATCTTACATTTCAGTACGTTGATGTTGGGTTGATTGCATTTGCACCCCGTAATTTGTTATTTGGTTTATTTCGAAAGAATAATTATTATATTTAATTAATCTTTTAGTTTTTTGCTAATTTTTGAAAAATAATTAATGTAATTATTTGTTTGGTGCTCTACTCTCAGTTAAGTTGTTTTCTTAATTCTTAATTTCAGGAGTTGCAAAGTTGGTTTCAATAATTAAATTCCCAATTAGCTTATTACAAGGTGTTTGTTTGTTTTTTTTTTTTTTTTTGAAATTTCTGAAATTTAATTCTTAAAATACCCAATTAATAAAATTTATGAAACCTAAACTATGCATTATGTGTATTATTGTTAGTCAATTATAATATTATTAGTATTTATAATTTTTATGTTTGAGTTTATCTTATTTTTATTTAATTTTTGTTATTTTGACATAGAAAGTACTTTATTATAATATACAAATTCGATGTATAATTAAATAGATTTCAATCATATTATTTCGTTAATATTTTTAATTTTACAACCACGAATTCACACATGTTAAAAACTAAATCAAAATATCAAATAAACTTGAGTCGGACATGAAATTCATTTAGAATTAAAATATTATTTTCATTAAATTACATATCATATTCTTATTTTTACAAAATTCTATCATTCAATAACTTAATTTTATGGTCCCTATAAAATTTATCATTATAAAAAAAATAAAATTAATTCACATATAGTTGTGAATGTATCCACAATCAAAATATCAAGTAAACTTGGCTTCTAAAGTTTCCAACTTCTCAATTTCCACACAAAAAAAAAAAGGTGGGGTAATATGCAAATCAAGTCTCGTACATCATTAGGGTTTCTATTTTTGTTTTCTTCTTTGTTTCTTGTGGTTATCAATTGTGGGTTATCTTGTAGCATGATCATAATCGTGTTGCGTGAGTTTCATACCGATCATGCGGTGCACAAATACCAAAAGGGTATTCAGAAAAGACAAAACTTATGCTTGTAATCATTTTAACTATGAATCTTTATCAAACACGTACGTCTTCCCTCACCATCATTCTTGGCTTTTTCTTTTTGGATGCAATACATTTTTGAATCATTTATATTACTAGTAATTTCCAAAATATACTTCCCAAAAAAAAAAAACAAGAAGAGAATACAATATTTTATATGGGTTTAATTGGGATAGGAGTCTACTAAGTAGACGGATATAATAACACTAATCATATTAATACATACAAAAAATTATTATTTTTTTAATCCATATATAATTTACTTAATAAAAAATTATATTTATACCCAAGTTAATTTATTTATGTTACAAAAAATTTCAATATATGGGCACACATATATAATTTAATGGGTATTACTATTATAAAAGTATAGTTAATTTAATTTGTAATTTAATAAAATTGATAATTAATTTTAAGATATTAAATTATCATGGGTTTAATGTGTAGAGACCAAATTGTTATTTCTAATTTATCTCTTTTTAAAAAAAACAAAATATCTTTTTAAGGAGTTATAATCTCCAATTTAAATGGTCAAAAGATTTTTATTTCTCATTTCAATAGAAAAGTTTACATATTTTAAGATTGTTTTAAATTAAAAAAATTAAATTATAACTGTTAAGAACAATCAATTCTACAATGGATCAAGATATATTTTCGATAATTTTAGTGTTTTAAAAATTTATTTTATGTCCAACAATTTAGACCCATTTGACATATTTCTCAAATTACTTAATACTCTTTGATTAAGGACAAAATTTAAATTAATGTACTAACATGTATTAGAAAGTTTTGAAAATGGGGTAATGAGTAAGTGATTCTGAAAAGTGCTTGCAATGTTGAAATTTTTGATTTATAAGAATCGGCCTGATATGGGTTTCCACTTTTAGGATACGAATCTCCAATTTTTTATTTGTAATTATCATATAATCAATCAATCATAGTAACATTCATTTTTCATTGGAATATTAGATCTATATCATTTTAATTACTTTTTTTAATCTTCGTTTTACTTATTTATTTCTTATGTGCACAAAATGTATAGAATCTATATGCCTAATTTCTATATCAACACTATAAACTACGAACTAGAAGGTACATAATTTCACCCGTGTGTGTGTGTGTATATATATATTATGTGAAACAACTTGCCCACTATATATAAAAGAATTATTTAAAACTTAAAAGTAAGTAAGTTAATTATGCATAATAAATATCTTTTTGAAAAACTGAGGTATGTTGGGCCATCTATCCAACAACTAATCATAGAATCATGACCTTTTTTAAGGTAATGGAAATACATATTGTATTTTTTTTTAATTATATTTTCTTGTTTTTAATGCATCAGATAAATGTAATTTATTGCGTAGACCCCTGCATCTTGTTGAAGCAATCCATAACTAGTAGTTCGTCAAAGTTTCAATTTGTTGTGAATTGCTAATACATAATTCCATTTTTTTTTATAAAAAAATAAAAATGAATAATATAAAAGTTTATAATATTATAAAATTATTTAATGTAACGTGAATTACTTATTTGTCTGGGTTATTCTTTGATTTAAATATATATGTCAACGAAAAAAATGGTTTTTCATTTTTTTATATAAGAAGAAAAAAATGAGGAAAATAAAAACGGTGTCGTTTTGGTGCAATCTTGATGACATTAAGTATAGCAAGGACGGGACGGACCAAAATTAAATTTGAGAAGAAAAATAAACGGCTGTACCTTGCAAATGCACATTTGTTTCATGAGTTATTGCGCTTATTTCAGATGTGTCAGACTACATATCACACTGAAATTAATATGATGAACATCCATCATTTGTGACATGTTACATTTTTCATAAGTGGGTATTTTTATTATTAATTTCAATTAATCTGGGATAACTCCTAGCTGCCATGGCATATGACGTCGGGCTTTAAAAAGTGATATATATATATATATATATAATATATCATACGAAGTAGTAGTATCTTTTCGTTTTGATTCTTCCTCATATGTAAGATAACAATAAAGAAAAAGTCCAGCTAGCTAGCTACCTTCATCCCCCCTCACTTATAAAAACATAGATACAGTACAATAATGCCAAGAGTTAAAAAAAAAAAAGGTACTGATAAACAAAACAAATATGATAAATGTACAATAACAATAATATATAATGACCAAACTATACCATTCATGCTTACCGAATACGTACATAACATCTAGTGTAAATATATTTGTGGCTGGAGATGTAGCAGTGATATTTACTACTACCATCGATACAATATATTTTTTTTTACCGAGTGCCTGGAAAAGCTTGACGTAGTAGGTTCTATAAATAATGGCTTCTGCCATGGGAAATCGAAGCATACTACTGAAATGGAGATTGAAAAGAGAGAAGAAAAAAGGGTTGCCGACCATGAACATGGGAAAAGGCAAAAGGGAGGGTTGGTCACCATGCCTTTCATCTTTGGTAATAAGCTTAAGCTAGCTTTTCACTGACGAATTAAATCAGCTTAATGTTGTTTCGTGTTAAACCATTAATGGTGTGTTTCTTTTGGTTTTGGCAGCAAATGAAGCCTGTGAGAAGCTGGCGGTGGTGGGTTTTAACGCTAATATGATAAGCTACTTAACGACACAGCTTCATATGCCATTAACCAAAGCAGCTAATACTCTTACTAACTTTGGAGGAACTGCCAGCTTAACGCCCTTGCTCGGAGCTTTCCTTGCCGATTCATTCGCCGGCCGGTTTTGGACTATAACCATTTCTTCCATTATATATCAAATAGTACTAAACTCTCTCTCTCTCTCTTTTTTTTTTTTTTTTCATATATATTATATTTATAACTTCATTATATATCAATTAATACTTGTTTCTTTCTTGTTTTCTCTTTAACTCATCTGGGGTGTTTTCTAATATATATAATCAGGGGATGATAATTTTAACACTGTCAGCCATACTGCCAAAGCTAAGGCCGCCACCATGTAAAGGCGAACAAACTTGCCAAGAAGCTGATACAGGACAGTTGGCAATCCTGTACGTGTCTCTGCTGCTGGGAGCAATAGGGTCGGGTGGGATCCGGCCATGCGTGGCTGCATTCGGGGCGGACCAATTCGACGAATCGGATCCAAAGCAGACAACCAAGATATGGAGGTACTTTAATTGGTACTACTTTGTTATGGGAGGATCAATTCTGGTCGCCGTGACGGTTCTTGTTTACATTCAAGACAATGTGGGATGGGGTTGGGGACTTGGTGTTCCAACCATTGCAATGTTTCTGTCGGTTGTTGCCTTCATTTTCGGGTACCCACTTTACCGCCACCTGGATCCGGCAGGCAGCCCTTTTACCAGGTTAGTGCAAGTAGGAGTGGCGGCTTTTAGGAAGAGGAAGGTGGCTATGGTTTCTGATCCTATCCTTCTGTACACGAATGAGGAGCTCGATGCTGCCATTTCTCTTGGTGGAAAGCTTTTTCATACTTGTCAGATGAAGTAAGTTCAAACTCCTTAATTAGTTTTAATAATTTATATTACTAATCAACATTTAACTATTTTATGTTCTTTCTCTAAATTTCATAATAATTTTACTCTTATTATTCTCGGTCTAAAAATTGTGTTTTGTTGTATTTATTTATATATGTCAGTTAAACACAAGCTAGGACATAGATTTTTATTTGACTAAATTTATTATTTATTTTAATTTTATTTTATTTATTTATTTCTATCAGAATTTAACCGAGTGTTGATTTTTTATTCTTTATTTTATATTCTCTGAGATAATTTTACTTATTTACACAAAAAAAAAAAAAAAGACTAGTTGAAAATTGGTTAGTGTTTTATAATATACGAATGCATTTTTTTCATTCCTCTCTATAATATATATTGATATAACTCTTTTGTTAAGTTTCTCAACAAAATATTATTAATTAATGAATATTTTTGAATTTTTATTAAACCTTAATAATTAATTTTATAATGGTTTTCTGTGTGTGTGTGTGTGGAGTACTGTGAACAATGATTGTACGGGTGCATTTATTGATTTAAGCTGTTTGGGTTAATTGGTTAGATGGGTGTGTATGTGAATGGTGAGTTGTTTGATGTGGAAAAATTAGCAGCACACGTATGGATGTTTCTTTTCGGTGAATAAGATAATGATTTGCGTTTTTACTATTTGTAACAATAAAAATTCCATGAGGAAAAAAAAAAAAAAAAAAAAAAAAGATGGATATCACCGATTTTTGAGATGATGATGGAACGTGGTGGGTATGAGTTTAGGAATATATGACATACACGCAAGTGACTCAAAGATTTCTTGTCTTTTAGGAGCCAATTCAGTCAGCCTCAAAATCTTGGATAGTAGCGTCACACAATCTCTGCATTTGCAGCTTTTTAGGCTAACCTACAAATTCCCTTTTACACTCCACAATAGCAACCCACCATGTGACATGTTTCTAGACCGATAAACCCGACTGAACCCAACATTATCCGGTCTGGTCCTGTCCCATATGATCCGAACCAGTTACAATACTAATAATAATGTTTAATAGGTTACATGATTATTGACGCAGGTTTCTTGACAAAGCAGCAATAGTGACTGAGGAAGACAACATAAAACATGGGCAACCACCCAATCCATGGCGACTCGACACGGTTCACCGAGTTGAAGAACTTAAATCGGTGATTCGTATGGGCCCAATCTGGGCAGCGGGAATTCTCCTCATCACCGCCTACGCTCAACAGAACACCTTCTCCCTCCAACAAGCGAAAACCATGGACAGACACCTCACCACCCACTTCCAAATTCCCGCCGGCTCCATGTCCGTATTCACCATGCTGTCCATGCTCTCCACCATCGTCATCTACGACCGCTTCTTAGTCCGCATAGCTCGCAGATTCACCGGCCTGGATCGCGGCATCACCTTCCTGCACCGCATGGGGATAGGGTTCGTGATTTCCGTATTGGCGACCCTAGTGGCTGGGTTCATTGAGCAGAAGCGAAAACAGGCAGCCATAGCTAATGGGCTCCTCGACAAACCTCAATCAATAATCCCCATTTCAGTTTTCTGGCTTGTCCCGCAGTATAGTCTTCATGGGATAGCGGAGGCGTTCATGTCGATTGGGCATTTGGAGTTTTTCTACGATCAGGCACCTGAAAGCATGAGGAGCACGGCGACTGCTCTGTTTTGGACAGCGATATCTGCTGGGAACTATACGAGCACTCTTTTGGTTTCTTTGGTGCACAAGTACAGCGCAGGGCCTGATGGGTCTAACTGGCTACCTGATAATAACCTGAATAAAGGAAAGTTGGAATATTTTTACTGGTTGATCACAGCATTACAGGTGGCTAATCTGATTTATTACATATGCTGTGCCAAGATGTATACGTTTAAACCTATTCAGGTTCATAACAAAGAAGAAGATGCAGATGATCGGGTTTCCAACAAGGTGTGAATGAATGAGGGAGCAGATAACATATTATAGATACGTGTATGTAAACGCATACCCTGAATAACAGCAAGTGCCATCTTCTTTCTAGAAGATAATGAGAAGTGGTGTTAGCAGAACATCCTTGTAGATGATGGAGATAAAAAGTTAGAATCAGAAAAACTGTTAATTTTGGTCAGTGGGTTATATATATATATAGTAGAAATGTCAGGCTTAATTATTGGTATACATAATTTAAGTTGAATTTAGCTCAACCACCACCACCACCACTCTATGGAAGTAGTAGTTTGGGTTTAGGTTTAGTGTTGGGGCAAAAAATTGCAAGAACTCAAGATTCAAAATTGGGTAATTAAAATTAAATATAATATGTTAAATTTTTATGGTATTCTTCAATGTTCGTATGAGTGTGCGGGAAATTAAATATAATATAGTATGATATTTATAAATAAATATAAAAAAAATTAAATTTTATTAATTTATAATTGATTTTATTGTTAACTGAATCGATCCAAGTTCAATTTGTTTTTGGTTGATTTGCTAAGTTGGATTTCAATTGATCCGCATGATTCGGTCAGGTAAGTTGATTTGATGAGTTTACTTATTAATGAGACTGATTGATTGAGGCTTCACCACCCTAACACAAAGATATAATTATTATTATTAATTAAATATATAAGGATGCTAATTATATCTAGTTATTATACCCTTTTTTTTAACTTTTAAGTTTCGTATTAATTATTTAAGTTTTATCTCCTTCATCCTTTAAATTTAATTCATAATCTCATTATGTAGATGATCTATTTTGTTTACATGAGAAAAAGGATTAATTATATATTAATATACTCATAAGTAGGAAATTGGTTAATTATTATCTTGATTATGCAAACCAGTTTGACCCTACTAGTTGATTTGCACTTAGTTGTCTGTGTAGAGTGACGTAATATTTATACGTGTCAGGAGGTTTAAGTTTCAATTTGTAAAGTAAACATTGCAGTAAAATAATTATTAAAAAATTAAAAACCACAAGCTATTTGTTACTTATTGGAATACATAATTTCTTATATATATATATATATATATATAATAGTATGAAATTAACTTAATGAATAAGTATTATGAAGAATCATCAATTAAATTTCAATAATTAGAGAACTATATGTTAAATGCATGAATTTAATTTTGTGAGCTGACTTGTCAAAAAAAATGGCAAGTGAATAATTCTTCATTATGAAATACAAGAATTTTGACATTATATCACCACGTAATAAAAAAAATAGAATAGTAAATGATGTGGCAAAAGCCTGAATGATATATATATATATTCAATAAAAATTAAAACTCTACATTTGTTTTCGGGTTAAATTTCTAGTTCTAATATTCATAATAATAAAGTTGAAGATAATTATAGTAATGAAATCCAATTATTACTTTTTAATAATGTAACTCAATTTATTAATTCTCGAATCATGTATTATTATGTAACTTTATTTAAAAATTATAATAAAATTAATTATCACCTATTATTTATTCAAAATTATAGTAACATAATGCGTGTGTATTCACTCCCTGGTTCTATAGGCAGACCGCAAGCCTAGGGAGGTTCCGCTTCCAAAGATTCACCCTCAACTTCATCAACCACCCAAATTTCATGCCATTGCTGTAAACATCTGTCAACAACCACAACCGACGAGGAAAAGTGAAAGAAACAAGGAGAGGAACAAGAAGAAGAAGGACAAATATAGTAAAGCGGCAAAAAATTGAGAGCCATGGAAGAGGCGGAAGAGAGGTTCGAAGACGCCACAACAACGGCTCTCTCGGCGATTACAGAGGCGTTTGAGGATCTGGCAGAGGTGGTGGAGGATGACACGGAGGAGGAAGAGCTCAGAGTTGATACCTTCTGCCAAGCGTGTAGTCTTGTGTCTGTTCTATTTGGCTGTCTTGGCCTTGCTTTCAAGTTCGCGGAGTTGGAGTACTTCTCCAAGGTATCTTTTCTTTTTCGTTCTCTTGTTTATATATTTTCTGGGTCCGAATGTAATGTCAAGAGTTGGTTCATTACTCAGGTGCGGGATCTGATGGAAGCGTCCAAAACCTTTGAGACTTTACGAGAAATTCTTGACCTGGATGTCGCCAACGATACAGTGAAAGTGTCGGGAAGCCATTCGCGTAACCTGCGCCGGCTTAGGCAGGGTCTGGACCTCATCAGAGTTCTCTTTGAACAATTCTTATCAACAGAGTAGGTTCAATTCCCGTTATAGTTATTTCTTAATTTCTTTGGTTAAGAGACTGATGCATGCATTGCATTGTTGATTTTTTTGTCAAACTTTAGCGATTACTCTTTAAAGGACGCAGCATCAACAGCTTATGCTCAAGTTTGTGCACCTTATCACACATGGGCAGTCAGGACGGCGGTTGCTGCCGGAATGTATACACTTCCAACAAGGGACCAACTGCTGCTCAAGCTTAACGAAACTGGTGAGAATGGAATTTCAGCTCTTTGCCTTAGTTTCCTACAAGTTTCAATCAAGTCTATAAAGTATATATGTATATATGTTTTTTTGTTGCAGATC